CAGCAGGAATGTCCAGAAGCATCATTCTGAAAAACTGAAAGAATAAAAACCTCTAAAAGTAACCACAAATAATATAAATAACATAAATGTCCAGCTTCAGTTCAGCGTTTAATATCATGAATTTACCAAAGAAAGTCTAGGATCAGCATGTTTTGTGAAAAAAGAACTGTAAGAGCATCTATTTTTTTCTTTTTTTTTTAATGTATCCACAATTGCTGAGAATCATCAAGTTTAAAAACTAATGCTGTGACTTTTCTTTAGCCACTACAGATGGAATCAAATGTGGTGACATGTCAGGCAAAAAAGTTTTTTAAAAAAAGGTTTGCTTACAGGAATTTTTGATGTTAATGACAAAACTGGTTTACTGCATCAGTGATTAAACTCTAACATCTGCTGTTTGTGCGATTTAGATTTTTTTTAAAAATATCCTTTTTGCATCACATAGTCCAGATGAATGCAATGCTGTGTGCATGTGTGACAGCATGCATCCTGAGGAAGTTGTGGTGAAGGATTTTGTCTATGCTCTGACAAATCTTGTGGTTTTTATTTAGCTGATGCTTAATTTTACAAATTTGATTAATCAAAACCTAGTTTCTTTACGCAAAGTGAAACTCAAACTCCGATATAAACAGCATTTGGTTTGAGAATTTTATTAGTCATGGTTAAAATTGTTGAACCGTCACCACAGCTGCTTCACCTCTTTACTGTAGTCAGATTTACAGTTGGGGTCAGAAGTTTACATTTTCTCATCATTTGCATTAATGTTGCAGGAATTTTGGACTTTGATTGCTTTGAACTGTTGTTTTTCTAGGTTCGAATGATTGTAGAGGATTAAAAAAACAAGAATTGGGTATGCAATCCACAAACACCAGGTCAAAATTTTACATACAGGCTCAAATAAACATATACACTCCCACCTCCTTTATTATTCCAACAACTTTGTGTAGCGTAACAGGATTACTGTCAACAAAACAGCCCCACCGCATGATACTACTACCACCATGCTAGACAGCTGGTACAGTGTTCTTAGGTTTTAAAGCCTCACTTTTACGCCTCAGATCAAACCTCTTATCACTGAATCCAAATCAATCTTTGTCTCATCTGACTATTAAACCTTTCTCCAGAAAGCATTTGGTGGTGTTCCAGGCAGTTTCCAGGTCATGGCAGGCTTGAGCCTAGGTGGTTTTTGGGTTGGTCATGAACATTCTAACCAGTTTCTTCTCATCTGACGATAACATTTTGTGTCTTCTTCTGGAGTTTGGCAAAGTGTGCACACATCCAAATAACTTACATATAGCTGTTTGGACTGATGACCTTGAAATCTGCAGTTTTTTTTTTAGAAATGGCTCCAAGACACCTTCCCAGCTTGTGTAAACTTACAATTCATCTTCTCAGATCATCACTGAGTTTCTTGGGCTTTCCCATTGTTCTGAGTATTGGTCAGTCCAATGAGTGCTGTCAAACAAATCCCTTTAGTAGTTGCTGAATTAGAGAAAATCCAAAATTAATTAAAACATGTGCACCTAACTCTTTTTTTTAAGCCATGAAAGATGTACACTGTACAATCATTCCAACCTGAAAAAAAAAGTTCAAAGAAAGCACAAAATTACCATTACATACACTCATCATGGGCATGAATGCAAACTTCTAAACAACTGCACCTGCTAGTTGTCTGTCACTACAGTAAGGTTTACTGATGCATGTACCCTCACTAAAATCATGTTTAGTTGTGTGACATCATAACACGGTAACTCATCTGCAGGTTCAGTCCAGAAACAGTCATACCTACTGTGAGTGGAATACCTAAATAAGGATGGTTTTAAAATATATGTTTCACTGACTTGACACGTTGCCTGATGTGTTAATACTACTACAAAAATTGCAGGGAAAGCTATCTCAGTATAAGTTTTAGTTGTAGAAAAAAAGCTCTTATCTCATCTACAGTGGGGCAAAAAAGTATTTAGTCAGCCACCGATTGTGCAAGTTCCCCCACTTAAAATGATGACAGAGGTCAGTAATTTGCACCAGAGG